AGATTAGACAGACTGCAAAAGCCTCCCAGCAGAGGTATTACGATATAGTAAAGAATTTTGTTAGGCTAGTAGGAAGTTCAACAATACGTAAATAATTATTCGCCAAAAACACTAAAACTGTTTGATTCTATTGAACGCAAATTTAACAAATCGTACGTTTGTATATAATATATGACAACCCTGCGTTATAAGAGGGTGTGTGTGACTTCCTCGTAAATATAAAAAAAAATGGCATTGTTTTATTATACTCATTAATCTGCAGCCGTTTTCAGACTACAGGTTGAACCYATAACGTACAAATAATAATAATTATAAAAAAGGAATCGTCTTTCTTACGTATCTCATGACTGCGATTTGTTACTTATCTTGTACGATCGCCGTATGGATCTCGACGATTTGAATTCGACAAAAATTCACCAATTGTATTGCATTCCAAATTCACATCAATCAAATATGAAACAATGCATTTGCGTGACGAGTATAGGTAATATTATCGTAATCTGTAGCGGTTGTAGAATAGGGAAGCAAAGATGTATGGCGAAGCGTATGGTGCATACCAGTTGTTATGATATAGGCACGTTGCCGAAATTTACATGTTATTATGCTCGGAAAAGATGATTACACGCTTTGAATTTAAAAATCAAATTAAAAAAGATTTCGTTCATTGCGTCAACACATATATATAATATATAGTACATTTAAATACAAAAAAAAAAAATACGTAAACCGAACTGCACTTACTGAACTAACAAAAACTATACGTCCATGTTTGCAGTTACACAACTACATTACACTTACCGCCATCACCGCCGATATTTCTGCATTCAATTCGGAATATTAGGTACTTTATGAGTAGTTCCGAGGATCCATGGCCTGAAAAAATTCTTGAWGAGCATTTAAAATGAAATGTATTAAAATTATTTTTGATTTGAAAAAAAATTCCTTTATTTTTATAATAGTAGGTAATTGAATCCTCGTCTTGSAGAAAAACATTCGCCTAGATTGTGTTGATTTATAATAAACTGTTATATTCATGTATTTTTAAAATGTATCTTTACATTTTTATTTAAATCAATAAAAAATTATCATACGATTGAGTATTTTTGGCATTTATTATACAGTTTTTTTCTTGGAAATAATTATTTTAAGTTAATTATTAATCATTAATAATTTTTTAATTTTTAATGATTTGATTTTGAAAAAAAAATATTATTATTATTATTATTGTTAGTCTGTTAGTAGGTATTAATAATTATAATATATAATATATTAATTAATATTAATAGGTACCAAATGATTTTATAGATATTTTATCCATGTTTATACTCTTAAGTCCATACCAAAAATGTTGTAAAAAATAAAAAAGAGTTAAAAAGAATTTAGGATAATAATGTAATTCAAAACATTTGTTTATCATTTTTTGTTTACAATTATTGCGTTGTTATTAT